AAACTTCTGACAGCCATCAGAGCCCTCTTGAGCCTGCCTGTCTTCTGGGGAATCCCCAGCTATGTCTGTCAGAGATGGGAGAGGAGCTGCCCCCATAATCGCAGTAGTGAAAGTTGAGGGCCCCGCATGCATCTCCCCTCTACTACTTCTCTGGTTTCTAGGCTGTACTCATGGCTTGCTCCTTGCAGTCCTTTCCCCAGACGGGGTAAGGGGAAAGGCCTTTAACTTTGCGTCCAGGTATGTGGGGTTGGCTAGCAGGAGTGAGGACCCACTAGAATGGGGGACAATGCTGGCTACTCCTTACTGTTCCCACCACAGTAGAAACTACCCAGGAGGCTGGAAGCAAGGACAGACTGAGCTTTTGGCAAAGGGAGCTGGCCCCCTCTGCCACCCCAGGACTGTTTTTCAGAGAAGGCACGGTCTTTAACCCTGCGGCCTCTGCTAGGCCTCTCCAAGGCCAGTGTCCATGTCCATGTGGTCTGCAACTTCCTGAGCACCAGTTACAGTGCCCTCGTCCCTGCCTCCACAGAGCCACTGCACCAGCCATGCACGGACTGCTCAGCACACAGATCTGGCCCAGGCATTAGCCAGGCCGGATGATCCAGGGGTTTCCTGCTGCCCACTGGACGAAGCCTACCTTCTCCAACAAGGCCTAACAACTACCAAGCAGCCTCTCCAGTGTTCCAGCAAGCACTGAGTGTCACTCACCTCATTCTAGACATCCACCCCGGGCTTGCTCTGTTGGCAAGCAGGGTTCACCTGGCTGATTCAGCTCTAGCCTAGAACCAAGCCCTGTGCCTTGTACATCAGGGGAGGCCAATCAGCACACTAACTCCTTCCCTTCTCCCTCTGGGATCCCCTTCCACATCTGTAAGTAAGAAGTATGGGCCTGATCAGCTTAGCAAATAAGTAGAGATTTTCATGGTGGACATCATCAACTGGTACCTGTTGCACAACTTCAGAATCACTCTCCACAGTATTCTGAGCAGCCACTGTGAGTCAGGCCCAGCCAGCATCTGAATGGAAATTTATTGGCTACTTCTGAGAGAAGATGGTCACAGTCTCGCTCTCTCCCCACGACAACCAGACGTGGATCTACACTTGGACTTGAGGTTATGGAAGAACAGGATAGGCAGGATTGGACTCCAGCTACAGCCCTTGGGTGACAATGTGGGACAGGCCATTCACCTCTCTGAGTTCTACTCTCACAAGCAGCCACGCCTCCCCTGCAGAAAAGCACTGCGGTCAAAGTGAAAGCAAACTGCACATTTAAAAATGCTACATAACTGAAAACCATTATTGGAATTTAAAAACAAAACAAGAACAAAAACAGCCTGTATCTAGTGCTCTGTTCCCTGTGACCCCTGCTCTCCTGTAATTCCCCACTTGAGGACCGAGAAGTCCTTACTGGACAGCATCCCCATTGGGCCAAAGGAACCAGAGGACCCACCCAGAGCAGTGGACCTGGCCAAGGCCAAGCTAGGTTTGCCAGACGCACAGCAGGAATTAAGCTGCATGAAGAAAAAAAAAAAAAAAAAAAGCCACTGCTTGATTATATAAAATATGCCTGGATCCAAAGCAGAAAATCAAAGTTGGAAGGCCCTCAGAGACCATCTGGTCCAGCCTGCTCTATCTCCTGGTGAGAAAACCAGGGCTCAGAGATGGGAGCCACTTGCCCAAGGTCAATCAGCAAGTGCAGGGCCAACTCCAGAATACCAGTCCCCAGCTGGCTTCCTATGAGACACTTCCTGGTCAGAAGGCTGGGTCTACTGCTTCAGGGCTGGCAAGGCTCCCCTCCTGTGATGTGAGCAGCACAAATACACTCAGTTCAAGCATGTACCATGGCCCATGTACATGCCAGGTGCTGGAGACGCCAAGATCAGAGCTTTGTTTTGTTTAAGTTGCATAGAATTAGACTACCCTTGCTAAATTTTGCGAAGACCCCATAAACTCCACAATACTCTTCAACCACAAGGTATGGTCAGATCAGTTCCTAGATCATCTCTCTGCCAGCTCTCAACTTGCTACCAGACATCTCATCACATCACGCCACAGGATGAGACAGACACTGCCCATCTTGGCAACCTGGACAACAAAGAACACAAATCACACAGAACCTAGCGTGTGACTGCCCCAACCTGTGGTCTCCAGGGTGGCTCTGAAGCCTGGCAGTCAGAGACTAGAGACAGGAAGTCCTATGTGCTGGGGGGGGCAGAATGGGGCAGGGGACACACAGCTGCTCCCTCACCCATGCCAGAGGCCCCACTGGCTTCTAAATTTAGGTCCAAGTGGTGGTGCAATCCTAACATGAAAACTAGGCTGGCCACCAGGGGACTTAGTTTTGGCACAGCCGGACCAGCCTCCCCAGGTCAAAGCTCCCTCCGTGACAGCCACCTGCTGAGGCCATGGTCAAGGAGGGGAAGAAGGACAATTGCTGGCAGCTGATAAAACCCTTGATACCATCTCTATTTCCCTCCTAATATCAGAGTAGCCACCTGCAAGATGAGTGAGGGGCAAGTCTGGCGATCAAGAGCTAATATTCCCGTCGTGAGCTTCCCTGTTCCGGAAATGGGCTGCTCCTACCTCAGGACCCAGCCCAAGTGCTCAGCAGCACAGCCAGGAAGGACTAGGCTGTCTTACCCCAGCCCTCTGCATCCAAATTACGGGGAAATGATGCTACCAAATGAGAAAGCAATCGCGCAGAGCCACCCAGGCTGTGTGCAGAGCCCAGGGCGTGCAGCTCCCTGCTGGTGACCCAGCCAGCTCTGGACAGCTCACCCTGACTGGGTGACAAAGATGACCTCTAGCCAAGAGGGTCCAAAAGCTGCTTCTGCTTGATGTAGCTGGTAGTGGCAACGTAAGAACAGCAATCAGCCTGAGCTTTCCGTTCACACACCTCCAAACATGACAGGGGAGGGCCAAAGAAGAATGTCCGGAATTAGGTCTTGACCATGGACAATTATACCAAAGCAGGAAGCTAGGAGCTACCCACATATCAGGCAGACCTTTTCTCTGTCCTAGACCCAGGTCAAAATAAAAGTCAGTGACCTATTTTTAAAACTGCAATTGGCTACTGTCCACCTATTCCCACCAGAGTGGCCTCCACAGACACCCAGAGACCAGTAGGCGGCATGCAGGTGGAACATGGCACTTAGTTCCTGGATGGACTCCATCTGCCAGGCAGGGAGGCCACAGTGCATCCGTATCCAGGGCATCCTTGGGATCAGGAGTGAGGACACCTGACCCCTGAAAGAATTCAACTCCCAACTCCACCGAATCCCAGCAGGAAAGGCCCCAGAAGGGCACACAACACCCACCTGCAGGGCCAGAAAGAGGCTGCCCCTGGTGTGGGAGGTCTCCTCAGGTGCAGGGCAGCAGCCAACTCAGCTCCTGCCTTTCCAGGGTCCATGGGTTTTTAGGGATCTTTGTCTTTCTCTCAGCTCCTCTTTCATACCTCTGTGGTCCTACCACAAGCCAAGGCTCTAGAATGCTCGCTTTGGTCTGACCTAGAGCCTCACACACCTGATGTTTGAGGCCGTACCTGGCTCCACACCTTGCGTGGGGTTGCAGTTCCAGCAGTCTGCCAGAAATGTATAGACAAACGTCTCGACACTTACACCCCTAAGTGCCATTCCTGCATCCCTCTCCTCTCACTGCCAGTGTCTCGGGTAACTTGCTGCTTCTGTTTTAAAGGATACCCAAAGTTCACTGGCGTCTTCCTCGGCTTGCGGGCAACATGTTGTAACCCTCCTCCCCTAGGAGTTAACATCAACCCAAATGTGAAATCTTGAAAAGTCAAAGCATTTTCCACCAAGGGAAGCCCCTGACCTCCCTCACAGGAATCTGTCCTGTCTTTGCTCAGTTATCTCAGGTGCCAAAGAATCCCTCACCTCCCCAAGGCCACCTGTGGACCTCCACACTGCTTGGTGAACATGTGTGCTACATTCTGTCTGGACTCTGCCTCACTGGCCCCAGCGGTGCATTCCCAGGCTTCGCAGGAGAAATCTCTGCCCCTTGTCTATGCCACAGCTCTTCCCATATCCTTCTGGACAGGGCTAGCCTTTCAGGAGGCATGGAGAGTCAGGCGCATTCTGGAGCTCGGCCCCAACAGACTTGGGCAAATGAGCAATGTCACCATCAACAGCTTCATCATAAAAGCTCCTCCCAGCCCTGCATGCTGACACCTCTCCAAGACAGCATTCCCAGTACCAATCTGGCTTAAGTAGACTAAGCCACCAGGAGAGAAGAGAGGGATGGAGGAGGAGGTGCACAGGGGGTGGTAGCATAGCCAACCCCCACAGAACAGAAAGCTCAACTCCACAGCACCCCAAAAAGAGCCCGACAAGGTATCCCGGAGAAGCAGGGCTGGGGACCCACGTGGGATCTGTTCCTGCCTGCGTCGGCCACAGCGCGGGCACAGATGCTTGTGGGATGCCGTCTGTGATCACACTCGGAAAAAATCAAGTGGTTAACCAGAGGGAAAGGATTCTGAGACCTGCCAGGATGGTGGGTTTTTTTGTTTTTTTAGATTATGCCTAAGGTTTGTAGTTTGGACAGGCAAAATAAACAATGACAACAACAGCGGCAACAAAACAGAAACAAAGAACAGTTTACTTATTAAAAAAATAAAAGAAGGAAAGAAATTTTAAAAAGAAAGAAAAGAAGCCTTTTGTTAAAGAAAGCTCCACACTGGCTTGGAGGCAGCCCTGCTACCTTCCCAACCAGGGGCAGACGGTGCTATGCCTGTGACGCTGGCATGAAGGAGACAAAGTGGGCACAGGGGCACCGAGTGCAGGAGGGGTCTGTGTCCCCATCCCTTTTCTTCCTTCTCCACTCGAGGAAGCAGGGAGAAAGTGATGGGAAGGGGAGGTTTCACCCAGCACAAAGCAACTGTATTTAGACCATGGCAAACTGAGCTGTACTCCTCTTCTGCTCTCCTGCCTGCCGCCCGCCCAGCCCAGTGTACACGAGGAGCACGGGCCCCAGAGCCCAGCACGTACCTGAAAGAAACCCGGCGGGATGGGGCCTCCGGGCATCCCATCGTTGGGAGGAATGTTGCCAAGCACGGGGCTCGGGGCAGCTGCTGCACTCTGTGGAAAACAAAGCAGAGGTCAATGAGCAAATCCCCAGCCAGACCCCAAATTCCAGTCCCTGCACCGCTCACCCTCCCTGCCCACATCCCTCCTCAAAGGCCGCCTCGCATGTAACACCCTCCTTCTCCCCCAAGTCCCAGATGTGGTGCTCACAGGCAGGAAGTGACCTGCACAGCCTCAATGCCCACTGCTGGGGCAAGAATGGCAGGACAGGAAGTGCCGAGGGCACTCTACATGGTACCTGGCAGAGCAGGTGGAAATAGCCCCTCCACAGTGGCTAGTGTTGACATTATGATGCCTTTGCCTTACCCACTCAGCTATTTCAAGATGCTCTTTGAGGGCAGAGGAAGCGATTTATAATTTCTGGCTCCCTCTCCAAGTGGCTGGCATGATGTACACAACAGTAAATACCCAGAAGACTAAGGAAATGACCCAAGACAGTGTGAAAGAAAGCCAGTGTGTCCTTGGCCCCCTCAGGAGGCCTGGATCGGGGGGATGCACATGAGGGACTGTTGTTACCGCCATTACTTTTCTCTTTCAATGCTGCTATGCTGGCACCCACCTGGTACATCTGCCTCAACAAATGCTCCCAGGGGTGAGCAGACGTTGCTCTCCCAGCCTGGCCCCTTTCCAACAATCTGTGTCCAACCTGTTCGTGTGACCGGCACGTCTGTGCCTGGCTCTGTGCTCACACAGATACAACTGAGACTGAGATGCCCTACCACGGCCCTGAGGAAGCCACAGGCCTGATCCCAGCTCCCTGCACGGATTCTAAACCCCTAGCTGCATTTCCTGCAGAAGCCCCTTCCATCCACCTTGGCGGTCCCCAAACTCCATCGAGGCTGAGAGTGGGAAACAACATCGACCCTCTCCCAGGGTTCTGGGAGAAGCCCCCCATGGTCAGGAAACAGAATGCCTCATTCATAAACACAGCTTCCCTCCCATCGCCATGTAAGGACGTCACTTCTCCTTCCCTGACCTCAGCCATACAGCAGGACCCAAGCTCTCATCATCAGCTCTGATGGGAGGAAATGTGGGACTCCTGTGAACATATTGTGTGCAACAAAACAAACTAATGCACTCGGGTTCAAGTACCACCATCTGTCCCAGCAAGTGGGAGGACCAGGGTCAGCCACTGGGCCCTTCTCAAACTGCTTCCTCTACAAAGCAAGAAGGTGTGACCACCACGGCTGCAGGCTTAGGAAGACTGATGGAACAGGCTATGTCCTGGAAGCCCGGAAAGCTCTTCAAGTTTGGGCTGAAGACCACCCAGTGCGGGCACAAGGGGGTTGCTGACACGTACCAGGTAAAGAGATGGGGTGAGCTGCGGGTTATTTTCAGAAACACATCCTCTGCAATCAAAGAGACTGCCCACCTCTCTGTAATGCGCTTACAAGTTTTAAACAACCCCAAACTACATGAATCTAGGTCTCCCTTCCCAGGTCCTAGGGCACTGGCCCACTGGGAACAGGGAGAAGACACCTGCTGCTGTGCCCCAGCCACCGGCCCAGCATTATGGGGAGGTGACCATAAAGGCACATCTGCTGGGTTACCCATTAGTGACACAACTGTTTCTTTGTGGTTAGTGGTTCCATGAAAACGCAACTTTTTGTGATTAGCAACCAACAACTACACCTCTGTAGAAGGAGCATTATCACTTCAAAAATCGGGGTGAGCTGAGCATCTACCTGTATTCTCTTCAAGTTCTTTCAGACATTTGTGTCAACACTTGGCTCTAGTCCTTCTTAACTGTACCACAATTTAAGTAACTTAATAATACACTACATCATCGTTTGCTAACTTGTTCATATCTCTTTGGTATTTGATATTTTGACTTACCTGTTGCTTTACACTGGACATCTGTAGATCTACTGTATGGCAAAATGCTCATGTTTCCTGCTATTTGGGTGTCTGAACTTTTTAATATTCTTGAGATATGATATGTTATAAAAAGAAAAAACCTTAAGGGGCTGGGGATTTAGCTCAGCGGCAAAAGCGCCTGCCTGGCAAGCGCAAGGTCGTGAGTTCGGTTCCCGGTACCGGAGAAAAACCAAAAAAAAAAAAAAAAAAAGAAAAAAAGAAAAAACCTTAAATATAAACTTGAACTTGTAAGTACACTGCTGCACTTCTTACAAAGCTCCTTCATTCTAAAGTGTGGGTTTCCTATGAAGTCAGAGTGAGTCGGTAGTTCCAGGAACCCAGGGTAGATGAGCAGGTGGTCACTGGTTCTTTAAATGAAATGGTCCTAGCGAATGGGTGGAGTAATTCTCTGAAATCTGGGGTGGAGGAGGAGTTTTGCTGTCCTCCAATGAAAACCAACAAAGAAAGCCATGCTAGCAATGACTATGGGGGCAGGAAGCCAAGAAGACAATTTTTATCATAAAACCTTCTCTAGCAGCAAAACTAAGTAGCTCTGCAGTGCTTAAATTTGTGCCTTGGGTTATGACAGCTACTGCTGTTCCTCTTTGACGGTGAAGTGAACAGGGGTTCACAACAGAAAATGTAAAAAAGGGCAGACAAGCAGCAACTGGTGGTGTTGGGAGACCAGAGAGGAGGAGGTTGGGAAGGGCTTAGAAATAACTGTTGTTCACACAACTCAGTCCAAGGAGACCCCTCGCACACATGTGGGGATAGCACGCTAAATCACGCACCTAACAGCACAGACTGTTTTACTCTCTCCACAACCCAGCACAATGTAAATAAGGCATACAGCAGGTATTCAATAAATGATTACTACTTGTATTATTCAAAGACTTGCTCAAACCTGACCATCTGGAGCCAAGCCTTTCTGGACTGCTAGGAAGTGGTTTCTCCCTGCATCTTTGAGCTTTGACTTAGTGCTCCATTAAGGCACTCAGCAAGGTATCTTGTGTGAGTCTTCTCTAAAAACACAAAATCCAAACCCAAACCCCTTGACATTCACTGAAGTCCACGGCATGCCGAGGCTGCAGTAGGTACACAGGATGGAACTCCTCCACCACAGCAGGCGAGGAAACAACACTGGATTCAGAAGCCAGAGACCACAGGTCTTACTTAGCTGACAGCCGGCAGACAGGTGCCTCCTCATTCAGGGACTCAGTCTCCCCGTCTGTCCAGCGATGTGGCTGGAGGAGACGACCACTGAGGCCCTTCTTCCAAGCATCTCTGCTCAGTCCTGTGCACACACCCAAGAGCAGCTCCTATGCAAGAGGATGGCACTGCTTCTGGGAGACCTGGAATTCCAACTCTTCTCGGTCCATCACAGAACATTGAGAGATCAAAGATTAAGCAGCACCCAGAAAGCTGCCTGTTATCTGAGCCTGTAGGCAACAATGGGGACCTAGCCACCTGGCCTCCCCCAGCTTTTACTTATAAAGGTACAGACATGGAAAGGTGAGAAGTTGGTTAAGTTGCATAAAAATAAAACGAAACAAAAATATAAACAAAAAAAATAACGTGCAAGGCTGTGCACAGGGCAAGATAGCCTACTTAGTCAGCTATCTTACCTACACCTGGGGGCACGGCTACCTGAAAGGACTGCCTGAAGCTCCTGCTTCAACAGATTGTTGTTCCTGGCCAGCCAGGTTTCTGAGGAGGGCTGAACCCTCAATTTTCTAAAGACAGTGTAGCTCTTGGATCCCAGGATAGGGTCACAACCCTGGGCTGGGAGTGTGGGGGGCAGATCCCTCAGTCCCTCCCTCTGTTCCTGTTTCAGGTCTCCCCGGGAAAAGGCACAGGGCACTGCAACCTCAGGTGTCCCCTGCTGTTAGGCTTTTAATTCTGTGTGACACCTGAATGCCTTACCAGCAGCCCCACCAGGGGGGGAAGGGGATCTGCCCTCCCCAAAGGGGGAAGCAAGAGTTGAACCCAGTGCCTGAGTAAGTGGGCAGAGCCTTGGAAGGCAGCATAAGGAATTAGGACTTTCAGCTCTGGGCAGGGGGGTTTCTAAGCTGAAGAGGGGCCCATGACCTCTGAGAAGTCTACATGTCCTACCTCACCCTGTGCCAAGCACACTGAACGCCTGATGAAGAGGACCGCCAGCGCCCCCAACGGGGGTGGTAATGCCTGCAGGCCCAGGGGGAACACCCTGGGCAGTTCATGCTTCCTTTTAAGAAGCAAGGGGCAGGAGATTCTCTCTAAGACATTTATCTTCTGGCCTCACCCCAAGAACCCAGCTATCCTCACCCAAACTAGTATGCACTCTCCCTATCCTGTTGTTACTCTCTTTAAAAAACAGTTCTATGTACTCAAAGCTCCTGGAAAACTGAATAAAAACAAGAGCTGAGAAGCAAACTGTGGGACTCCTGCCAGAACAGCCAAGCCCTCCAGATGGATTTAGAAGCCTGCAAAAATGGTACTTTGTTCTGCAAATCTCCTCCCTCCTCACCCCGCCCCAGGACTCAGGCCTTGGCTTACACAGTCCTAGCCACATGCAAATCACCAAGTACAACCTTCCTTGAGGGCAACTCAACCCAGGCTGAACGGCCAAGGGCCCAAGGCATCAGGGGGTGTGAAATGTGTCCTGTGGACAGGTGTGGCCATGTGTACCTGGCTGGAACATGGAGCCCTAGGAGAGGACAAGGACATGTGTCTGAAATGGTCCAGGGAAGCAGGACAGGCTTTACCATTCCTGGCAGAGTCCTGGAGTGGCCTGGCCTCTCTGGAGGGAATTTTAGCAGCATCACTGACTGAGAATGGAGATGCAGGAACGGGAGGAACAGGGACAGCGTCCTCACCCAGGTACCAGGGCCAAGATGGAGTGTGGTGGGGTCCAAAGACAGGGAAGGAGAGGAAGAGGCCTGACCGCAGGGCAGGGCATGTCTGGGAGAACAGGGGCTCTAATGTCACAGCATAGAGACAACACAGAGCTGTTGCTACACGGAGAGAAAGAATCAGCTGGTATTAAAAATAGGTCTGGATGACACAAGGGAGTGATATAGGATCCCTGCCTTCAAATAGCAAGGGGGCTGTCACGTAGGAGGAAGGGCAGGTACGCCTGCCTGGCACTGAGAGATGGC